CAGGATTTAGTCCGTGAGCAAAGAAGGCGCTATGATGCAGAAGGTGAGCGAGATCTTGCTATTACGCGAAGAGATCTTGCTGAAGGTGGGATGGCTAATGTTATTGGTGATCTCCATCAGTTGCGGACCAATGCTCAAAACCAGGTAAATAGAATGATAGCTAATATAGCAAGAAAGCAAACCCGTATAGGTGTACTGATACAAGAAAAATTTGCCTTACAATTATTGTATCAGCGAAATGCCCACCACTTACAGCTAAGTAGAGGGGATATAGATCTGTTAGAATTTAATCGAGACAGGTTATATGAGCGATATGAGAAATGGAAAAATAAGACCCAAGCAGAACGCCAGAATAATTTAAATTTGCAAGGACAAATTTTGGCGCTTCAGAATAATCCACTTAATATAGAACAGATAGGAATGGTTGGATACGGACCACCAATATTTTATGGACGTCCTGGCAAAGATTCAGAAGATTGGCTTAGAGACATGCAAAGATATATAATAGCTAGTCAGATAAATGTTGCACCTGGTGCAGGTCAGGCCCCCGGAAGAGAAGAGGCATTTGGATTAGTAGTATCATGCCTTGCAGGCGATGCATTAAATTGGTACAATACTCGTGTTAAGGGTAAAAATTGGAGATGTAATAATCTCTCAGACAATTTGGGAGTAGCTACTTTAACTGCTGTTCGAGCTTTGGTCGCCGGAAATGGTGGTGGACAAATTGGAGCTTTGAATACTGCTGGAGAATTTCAAGGTAAGGCGACCACCGAAATTGGTAGAATTGGTGCAGGTATTGCAACTGGTGCTAAGGATGGTCATCGGTCCTACCGGTCCTACTCGGTCCTGGACCGGTCGGTCCCAGGACTTGTAGGACTGGACCGCGGTCTTGCATTTTTTTGTGGCGCAGTAGGACCGGTCCTGAGGACCGACCAGTCCTCGTACCGGTCTTTATATAATAAATGATTTTTATATTGAATAAACCTATTAATCTGATAAAGGTCTTCATAAAATAATATAAAGACCGGCCATTTCCAAACCAATAAATAATGACAATCACTCTTCCCACTTGTAGAGTTGCTTGTCAAAACGCTGAAACTCCGATACTCCAAAAAAAAGAGTTTAAGCGGATTATCTCGTCATCCAGTGATCAGAAAAGGATGAAACCACCACCATTCGAATCGTCTTAGCGAGACGCGTCGAATGGTGACTAAATAATGTTTCTAGGATCGATAGATAGTCGGTAATTATTGAATTTATTATCAAATAGTTTTGCCGACGTAATATTTTTTTTATTGATTATAAAATCATGATTTTGATACCATTCGACGCGCTGCAGCGAGACGATTTGAATGGTGGTAAAATCATCTCTTTACAATCACTGGATGGTGAGATATTGCGTTTTGAAGTATTTTTTCTCAAAGCTTTAAATTTTCGAAACTATGACTTCAGAAATTTCAAAAAAAAACTTTAAAACGTAATATCTCGCCATCCAGTGATTATAAAAGGATGAATTTACCACCATTCGAATCGTCTTACTGAGACGCGTCGAATGGTATCAAAATCATGATTTTAGAATCGATAGAAAAACAATTACGTCAGCAAAACTATTTTATAACAAATTCAATAATTGTTGGTTATCTATTGATCCTGGAAATATAATTTAGTCACCATTCGAAGCGTCTCGCTGAGAGGATTCGAATGGTGGTAGTTTAATCATTTTCTGATAACTGGATGACGAGATATTCCGCTTAAACGCTTTTTTTAAAGTTTGGAGTTTCAGTGTTTTGACAGGCAACTCTGCCCACTTACATGCTTATATTCTTTCAAAAAGAATTTCCTAATGCTAATTTATTAATTTTTAAGATTATTTGTTCATTCTGAAATTTAGTAATTTATTCATTTTTTATAAATGTTAATTTATTTTTAATGTTAATAATAAATACATATATTTTTAAAGAGAATACATAAAAAGTTAAAAAATTTATACAAAAAAAATAAAATAAAAGATTTTTTAATTATATAAAAGGATAAAATATCAAAATTTTTTAATATTTTATTCAATTTTTCCTTGTTCTAACCAAGATTTTAAGCATAAACATGCTCGTGCTGTATTAGCATCAATTCTGTTACGTGTTTGACTAAATTGGTTTCCTGCAATTGAAAAAAACTGTTCACAAGGAACAGAAATTGGCATTATGGCTAAGTAGTCCTTTGCCATTTTTGATAATGTTGGGTATTCCATAGAATGGTTTTTCCACCATTCTAAAGGTACTATTTCATCACCAGGTGAGTTAGAAGTAAAATAAAGTTCCAATTCATTTAAAACAGGCTGCGGAGTTTGATTTAGTGCTATTAAATTGCGAAAAAAATTTCTTGTTTCAATTGCTGATAAATTCATTAAATGACGCTGAGAAGCCTGAATGGGTTGAGATGGTATATGAGTATCATCAGATTCTCTATAATTGGCCATTGCTCTACGAATTGGTTCAAAAATATTATTTTGAGACATATCACCATATGCTAATTTTTTATAACAGGGATCAAAAAAGGCTGGAACATGTAATGCCTCAATTATTTCATCAAAATAATTTGTAAAAACACGGTTCATTTCATCTACTTGGTCTTGTAAAATAAAATTTTCACCTCGAGATTGATTTAAATGCATTCTAATACCTTCAAAAAGTAATTTAACTTCACCAATAGTTGGATAACTAGAAGCAGATATCACTCTTGTTACTGATGCAAAAGGAGCTAATAAGTCTGCTAAAATAGTAAGTATATTCCATTCTTCTTCATTTGGCCAATTATTTGATAATGATGTAAGATTTGATAATAAATGAGCCAAAAGAGGTTTAATTTCTAATGCTCGATCTATCATGTAGAATGTATAGTTCCATCTTGTAGTACAATCTGAAAGTGGTACTTTAAATTTAATTTTTTCAACTTGAAAAAACTCCTTTAACTTATCCATTTGTTTAGGTGAATTTCTTACTGTACTAATAAATATACGCAACTTTTTGACACAATTAGGAACTATACTTGTATTAAGTGCTGCTTCAACAGCAAGGTTTAAAATATGTGCTGCACAGAGATAGTGGCAAAATTCTGATAAATTAAGATCTTCTTTAATCAGTCGAGTCGCAACTAACATCTTTGCTTCATTGTCACTAGTAATTCCAATTAATCGATCTGCAATATTTAATTCTAAAACAATTTTAATAATAGAATCTTTAATTGCTAAAGCTGTGTGTGGTGAAGGAATATACAATACATCTAATACAAAGTGATCAAACTGCCAATCATCTTTTATAAAATGAATTGTTACTGCCAAAATACCTAATGAACTAATTGTTGTCCACATATCCATTGTTAACGAAATTTTGGAAGTTGAAAGTTGAAGGTAGTTTTTTATTTGAATTTGTGCATTTTCAAACTTTTTCATTATCATATCTTTTATTATGTGTCGAGATGGAATTTTGTATTTTGGTTGAATAGATGCTATAAATTTTTTAAAACTTTGATTTTCAACAATGGTAAATGGTTGCTGGTCTGTGATAATCCAATTAACAAAAAGATTATGCTTTTCTTGTTGTATATCAACTGTCCAGGGTTTTGCATTAGATTCAACTTGACCTAAGTCTTTATATACATCAAAATGTTTAGCTTTTAAATGACGTTCAAGAGTTGTAGTAGAATTGTTTGCAGAGAAATGGCCTTCACAAATATGACATAAAATATAAGTTTCAGTTTGTTCATCATCTTTTTCAATTGTCTTTTTTTCAAAATGTTTCCAAACTC